CCCAAATCCCAAAATCCCCAAATTCCCACATCCCCAAATCCCTAAATCCCCAAATTCCCAGCTTCCCAAATCCCAAAATCCCCAAATTCCCACATCCCCAAATCCCTAAATCCCCAAATTCCCAGCTTCCCAAATCCCAAAATCCCCAAATTCCCACATCCCCAAATCCCTAAATCCCCAAATTCCCAGCTTCCCAAATCCCAAAATCCCCAAATTCCCAGCTTTCCAAATCCCAAAATCCCCAAATTCCCAGCTTCCCGAATTACTAAATCCCCAAATTCCCATTTTCCCAAATCCCAAAATCCCCAAATTCCCATTTTCCCAAATTCCAAAATCCCCAAATTCCCATATCCCCAAATTCCCAGCTTCCCAAATCCCAAATTCCCAAATTACTAAATCCCCAAATTCCCATTTTCCCAAATCCCAAAATCCCCAAATTCCCATTTTCCCAAATTCCAAAATCCCCAAATTCCCATTTTCCCAAATTCCAAAATCCCCAAATTCCCATTTTCCCAAATTCCAAAATCCCCAAATTCCCATTTTCCCAAATTCCAAAATCCCCAAATTCCCATTTTCCCAAATTCCAAAATCCCCAAATTCCCATTTTCCCAAATTCCAAAATCCCCAAATTCCCATTTTCCCAAATTCCAAAATCCCCAAATTCCCATTTTCCCAAATTCCAAAATCCCCAAATTCCCATTTTCCCAAATTCCAAAATCCCCAAATTCCCATTTTCCCAAATTCCAAAATCCCCAAATTCCCATTTTCCCAAATTCCAAAATCCCCAAATTCCCATTTTCCCAAATTCCAAAATCCCCAAATTCCCATTTTCCCAAATTCCAAAATCCCCAAATTCCCATTTTCCCAAATTCCAAAATCCCCAAATTCCCATTTTCCCAAATTCCAAAATCCCCAAATTCCCATTTTCCCAAATTCCAAAATCCCCAAATTCCCATTTTCCCAAATTCCAAAATCCCCAAATTCCCATTTTCCCAAATTCCAAAATCCCCAAATTCCCA